GGCAGACACCCAGTGGGCCCTCCATAAATGCGAGAAGTTTGGAACCCACAGATCTGGTGATCGGCTATTGTGATGGGGGAAAATGGGAGCTGGGAAAGACGGAAGATTCAGAATGGGCCTGGGGAGGCAGGGGGGGAGGAAGAGACCAGGAGTGATCAGATGTTGGGGTGCAGCCTCTCGATCCCCTCTTGATTCATCTCCGTCTCCACTTCAACCCCTCCTCTCCCTTCTGAGTGACACGGAGTCGGACCCAGTGTCTCCTGGGCCTGTCAGTCTTGGAAACTGGAGGGCTTTTATTCTTAAGACGGGACTGTCTGGAATCCGGGGACCTTAAGGGCAAGGATAGAGCCTCAAGGCCCTGATGGGGCAGGGTTGGGGATGAGGTCAGTGTTGCAGAAGGGGAGGGAACCCCTGTGCTGGTACAGGGCTACTGCCACCTCCCCAGAGCTGCATCCTTGGACTTAAATGGGTAAAAAACGACATACAGGAAATCTGTCCCCCGCCGGCTATGAGCTCAGCCCTGGAGAGGCATAGCCGGTCACACACTCCGGTCCTTTCCTGGGCGCCCTGTAGACCACGGGTCTTTAAGGGACAAGAAATCTGATGAAGACCTTGTGCCTGGCAGGAAAAGGGTCCTAACTGCTACCTTCCTGAGGTCATTTTTTTGGTCTTCAAGTCTCCAGACTCTTACACACAGGAGAGACTAGAAGCCACATTGGCATTTGGAAAGTTGTGTTCCCCGTTGGATGGGCCTGTCGGTCTGCTCTGGACAAGGACCTCACCCTGGGTGGTTTTGATTGCCACTAAATTTGTCCTTTTCCAGCTGGAGGGGTGGGGGCGGTCCTTATCTGGGATCTACGGGATGGGCCAGGAAGCCTGCGTGTATAGTTGGTTTATAACTCATTCAGGAGATGAATCTGGATAGAACCTCAGATAGAGAACCACCCCCTTCACTGGCAGAAGGTTCTGGATTTTTTGGAAGGCTTTCAGCTTCCCTTGCCTCAGGACACATGCCGGTGGCGAACATCAACTGTGGGCTTGCTTAAGCCAAGAGCAATACCGGAACCTTCTGATCTTATAGCACCCCCTGCCCCCCCCCCCAATTGCCACCTCCCTGCATCAGGAACGTGCCAGGCGAGGTCTCGTTGGACAGGGCACTGTTTGGGGGTTTCTGGCCTCCATCAAGTC